TTTGGTCTAGGTCTACTAGCTGTTCTGCAATAAATTGGCCTACGAAGAAGGCGTTCGACGCATCGATGATTTTGCTCACCGTCGAAGAGAAGGGGCGTCCGTGTTGCCGCGTGATATATGCAGGAGAGCTGCTGCTGGGGGGCGCTGATCTCGCAAGCGAGGTGCCGGCGCTCGAACTTGACGCTGCCAGATATCACCCCCTTCCTTGCCCAGTTCTGCACGGGCTGCCAGACGCATGGCTTCTGCGTGCCAGTCGAGCGGATCTTGGTGCCTCCAGCAGACGCAGTGCTCCTCCTCAGCAACAGCAGCTCGAATGGGCCGTGGAGCGCAGCACAGCGAGGCGTGCCGCGCTTTCGGATCGCCAACGACGCCGCAAACTGCGTAGGTCCGGCCGTCGTGATCTTTGAGAGCCCTGTGCCACAGGCCGCCGCTACTACCGCCGCCAATGCGAACGCGGCTGCGAGAGAGGGGAGTTCGCAAGGCGCTCGTCTCGACGCGGCGCTCATGGGCGGTGGCGGGGCGGTAGCGCCTGGTGCGGCTCCGACGGCGATGCCGCCTCGTGCGTGGTGGGAGCCGCTGCCGGGGACGTGGCTGTTCCAACCGTCCTCGGGTTTGCCTTGCGTTCGCTTTGTTCCGATGCACGAGACGCTCGTCCTCTCGCCGACGATCAGCGAGGAGTGCGCAGCAGCGCTTGGGCTCACAGCGACAGCGCTGCCGCTGCTCGCACCTCAAGCGGCGACCACATCGGCGGCTCAGGTTCCACCGGTTCCACAGCCGGCCGTTGCGCTTTGGAGCCAACGACGGCCGCGCCTGCTGGAGCTCGTGAGCAATCTCATGGCGCACGGGGTGACGAGTCACGTCCCCGTCACGGGCAATGCGGGCCAGACCCTCCTCCTCTCGAGCCTCGTGGGGCAGCTCGATGAGATGATCCGGAACCCTCTGGCTGTCCATGGACGAGCGTTTCCGCTGGAGATGCTTGAGATCATCCAGGCGCAGAGCAACGCCTCGCACCTGTGCCGTTCTCTCCTCAACCACCGCCACTGCCCTCCGTCGCTGTCGTCTCCTATTCCAAAGCCCTCGCCGCTGCTATCCTCACCACTGCTGCCCTATGCTGCTGCAGGCCGAGCTCGAGGTACGGTGGCAGCAGCTGTCGGCAACGATGCCTTTGGGCTTGCCGCAGGCGTCGCCGTCGGCCCCCTCTGTGGCGCAGCTGGAGCTGCACTCCTCGTTCATCGCCACTGAACAGACTGCAGCGACGACAGCGGCGGCGGCGGCGGCGGCGGCGGCGGCGGCGGCGGCATCAGCATCAGCATCAGCATCAGCGGCAGTGGCGGCAATGCAACATGGCGGCGGCGACGCAGCATTCGCAGCAACAGCATCAGCTGGCGCGCCGTCTATGTCTATCCCTCAAACAAGTGCCTACGACTCCGAAGACGCCCCCCGCCACTCATGACCGTCGCCCTCGGGAAGGCTGCTGCACTCCTGCACTTGGATGGAGCACTTGGAGTGCGGTGTGCCCGTCTTTCTGGCGGCACATACGTTTCGTTGTCGCATCGTCGCACACAACGTCCTCACAACACAAGACATCCTCAGAGAGAACAAAAAAACAAAAACAATTTTGTTTTCATACGCCTTGTTTCCAGCAAGGTGGTCGAGAGCCTCTAGGCGGCTCTTGGACCTAGGAGGATGCTCTTCGCCGCTTCCGTTGCCTCCGCCGCGTCCGCCGATGCCGCGGCGCCCCCCGCGACCGTCGCCACCGCCGGCGGCGCCCAGGCGCGCGGCGGCTGGATGCCGTTCGCCCAGCAGGGCGGGTCGACGGGCGTCAACTTTGCGTCGCAGGGTGCCGACACGGCGTTGCACTTCTTCACGGACCCAAAGTGCGCCGCCCCCGCCCGCTCGCCTCGCACCCGCCATGCCCTCGCCCTCGCCCCGAGACGCGCCCCAGCCCCGCCCGCCGCCGCGCGCGTGCACTGAGAGAGCTGCGCTCAGCGAGCGTCGCCCCGCACGCCGCACAGCTTCGACTTCCAGAAGGAGGGCCAAAAGTACCAGCAGCTGAGCGGCGAGACGGGGAACGCCTTTGGCGGGCTGTCGCAGGGTATGCTGCCGCAGCAGGCCGCGCCGCAGCAGGCCGCGCCGGCGGGCACGGCGCCTGAGGCGCCGGCCGCCACCTCGCGCGCCGGCCCCCAGCCCGCATCCCGGGATGGCATCCCGATGGGCAGCTGGCAGGACTTCATGAACATGGGCATCCACACGGGCATCGCCTATGCCGGCGCGGGCGCCGACACGGCGACCGAGTGGGGCAATGGCAAGGGCGACGGCGCCGCGACGGCCAACAAGTTCGGCGCGCTCAGCCAGACAACGGGCAACAACTTCAACACGCTGTCTGGCGGCACGCCGGCGGCGCCGACGACGACGCCAGCTGCGGCGGCGGCTCCGGCCGAGAAGTCTGCCGAGGCGCCGGCGACGGAGGGCGTCAAGCCGCGCGGCGGCTGGATGCCGTTTGCGCAGCAGGGCGCCGCGACCGGCGCCGGCTTCGGCGCGCAAGGCATGGACACGGCCTTCCGCTTCTTCACGGACCCGAATTTCGACTTCCAAAAGGAGGGCCAGGCGTACCAGGCGTCGGGCGCGGCCACGGGCAACGCGTTCGGCGGCCTCTCGCAGGGCATGCTGCCGCAGCAGCAGCAGGCGGCGGCGGCGGCGGCGCCCGAGGCGGCGGCGGCGGCACCGGCTGAGAAGTCTGCCGAGGCGCCGGCGACGGAGGGCGTCAAGCCGCGCGGCGGCTGGATGCCGTTTGCGCAGCAGGGCGCCGCGACCGGCGCCGGCTTCGGCGCGCAAGGCATGGACACGGCCTTCCGCTTCTTCACGGACCCGAACTTCGACTTCCAGAAGGAGGGCCAGGCGTACCAGGCGTCTGGCGCGGCCACGGGCAACGCGTTCGGCGGCCTCTCGCAGGGCATGCTGCCGCAGCAGCAGGCGGCGGCGGCGGCGGCGGCGGCGCCCGAGGCGGCGGCGGCGGCACCGGCTGAGAAGTCTGCCGAGGCGCCGGCGACGGAGGGCGCCAAGCCGCGCGGCGGCTGGATGCCGTTTGCGCAGCAGGGCGCCGCGACCGGCGCCGGCTTCGGCGCGCAAGGCATGGACACGGCCTTCCGCTTCTTCACGGACCCGAACTTCGACTTCCAAAAGGAGGGCCAGGCGTACCAGGCGTCTGGCGCGGCCACGGGCAACGCGTTCGGCGGCTTGTCGCAGGGCATGCTGCCGCAGCAGCAGCAGGCGGCGGCGGCGGCGGCGGCGCCCGAGGCTGCGGCGGCGCCGACTGAGAAGGCGGGCTGGCAGAGTTTCGCGCAGCAGGGCGCTTCGACCGGCGGTGGCTTCATGCAGCAGGGCGCCGGCACCGCCTCGGCCTTCATGACGGACCCGAACTTCGACTTCGCAAAGGAGGGCGACAAGTACAAGGCGTCGGGCGCCCAGACCCAGTCCGCGTTTGGCGCGCTCGGCCGGGAGAAGTCCGCCGAGGCGGCGCCGGCGGCCGAGGCTGCGCCGGCGGCCGATGGCGCCAAGCCGCGCGGCGGCTGGATGCCGTTTGCGCAGCAGGGCGCCGCGACCGGCGCCGGCTTCGGCGCGCAAGGCATGGACACGGCCTTCCGCTTCTTCACGGACCCGAACTTTGACTTCCAGAAGGAGGGCCAGGCGTACCAGGCGTCTGGCGCGGCCACGGGCAACGCGTTCGGCGGCTTGTCGCAGGGCATGCTGCCGCAGCAGCAGCAGGCGGCGGCGGCGGCGGCGGCGCCCGAGGCGGCGGCTGCGGCTCCGGCTGAGAAGTCTGCCGAGGCGCCGGTGGCCGATGGCGCCAAGCCGCGCGGCGGCTGGATGCCGTTTGCGCAGCAGGGCGCCGCGACCGGCGCCGGCTTCGGCGCGCAAGGCATGGACACGGCCTTCCGCTTCTTCACGGACCCGAATTTCGACTTCCAGAAGGAGGGCCAGGCGTACCAGGCGTCTGGCGCGGCCACGGGCAACGCGTTCGGCGGCTTGTCGCAGGGCATGTTGCCGCAGCAGCAGGCGGCGGCGGCGGCTGTGCCGGAGAAGGCTCCGGCGGCGGCTGCTCCGGCTGAGAAGGTGGGCTGGATGCCGTACGTGCAGGCGGGCGCGGAGACTGGCGTCAGCTACGCCGCACAGGGCGCGAGCACCGGTTTCCGCTTCTTCTTCGACCCGAACTTCGACTTCCAAAAGGAGGGCGAGGCGTACCAGGAGTCCGGCAAGGCGACGCAGGACAAGTTTGGCGCGATTGGCCAAGAGGAGGCCGGCGAGGGAGAGGCTGTGGAGGAGGCGGCCGCCGAC